GAGGCATCGCAGTCATGACTCGATGGCAACACAAAATCCCAACCAACCAAACTGCTCCCAGCTTGGCATTCAATACTGTGAGTCTGATCACATGAAAAAGTGCAATCTGTGGTCGAATTCCCGTGGGGCAGTTGTGTATCCGAAGCTTCCAGACACCCCTATGATACGGCAGACACGACATAAGGGCTAAGCAGGCCCTTCTAGCGCAATGGTACGGTTTTGACGAGTCCACGGGAGGAGTGGCCTGGCTTTGGCGTCATTTTGTTTTCCCGTTAACTGCCAGTTTTATTTTGTTCTTTCTGAGCGTGACGAACATCTGAATGAGTAACTTGCATAACAAAAATGACATTATCCGCTTCCGACCTGCTTCAAGTTTCCTTCCAGCATTCAGTATCAGAAAGGGCATTAACGCCCCCCCCCCTGGTGAGCTTTTTGGAGTCCCCTATTTCAACGATTATATTTGGTGCGTTATCTACCTAACGTGCCCAACTTTGGGTTTAAATTATAAGCGCTCCGAAGAATTTGAGCTATCCTACCCTCAACAACGAAGCAGCCGGGTATTTCCTGGCCGTGAAAAACATGGAAGAAACATTATACCCAAATAAAATGGACACAACCAAACAGCCGAATGTAACCTCAGCTTGGCCGAGAACTGGAGGCTCATCATTGATACCCTATGTCCTAGGGCGGCCCTCTTCGGATCATCCTAGCGCTTAAAGACAGCTCCCGATAAAAGTCGTGGATAGTTGCTATTCAATTTTCGAACACTAGCTGATAAGTAATTCCTCAATACGAAAAAAAGCAAGAAGAATCCTTAAAAACACGATAAAACGAAATCGCTCCATGACAGTCACCCTTCCTGCCCTGGTCTCTGGCGGCAAGCCCCTGGCTCACGCATCGCACCTCCCTTTTATCGCCACCTCCCAGTAGTGATTTATCAGTGCAATGAAAAGAACACGAAAAACAAACAAAAACGGAAAGAAACCGTTTGAAATGGAAAAGAACTTTCAAATGTTAGGCATCTGAATTTGGTTACGGTACGCGTGCATCTTTCAGTGTAGCTGTAGGCGTCGAGCTTTGCACCAACGACACCATTTTGTCGCTTACGCGTTTTACCTTGCAAGACGGGTTGGAGTTGACTGTATGTGCTCCTAATAAATAAAATGTAATAAAGGAGAGCAGAATCATTCATGGGCACGAGCGCGGTCAGCAAAAAGGGCATGCAGTTCCGATTAATGCCCGCCGCCCCAACAAAGAACAACTGAGCGGCCCTCCGTCAGAGGGCATCTAGCAAGTGGGCGGTCCAACTGGGCGGGCGTTAGAACTAGAACTTTCAGCAGCTGTAGCTCGCTCCTCGCTCGCTGTGGAGTCGCGAGAGTGTGGGACCGTCTCTAGCTTGGGGACACTAATTGCACAAGGAAGGATGACGCATGTACTATTTTTTACTTTATTAGCACGAGGGGCTTGTCGTGGTACTTGTCTGGATCTTATGGGCGTAGTCTACCATTGCGCTCCTAATTAGCACCCTACTGCTCCGTATGGGTGAGACAGAGAAGCACGAGTGAGGAAGGCACAGTGATAGCCTGATTCCGGCTGTACGAATATGTAGATTACGCCGGATCGGCCACATTACGCGACAAGTACCCACGCAGGTTTAAATCCGGCAAGGACACTATGGCCTCCTTATCCAGCGGAACTAGAGAACTGTTGGGAGACATCCATCGGGGATCATAGGAAAGACGGAGGGCGGTGGGTCGTAGCTGGTTATTGGGGCCCTACCGGTCTACGAAAAAAAATTTCACGAGCGCGAGGAAAAATTTTTCTGCTTGTTCACTTCGCGATTTTTCTATATTCTAGGTGCGCAATAAACAACAGGGGGGGGGGGGCCAAAAAAAAGTCATTTCGGCCGAGCCACATATCAACGAAGTTTTCGCAGCCCAGACAGGGGAAGTGGATATGAGTACCAGAGTGGAAGATACCCAAGATCTTCCTCTATAAGCTGGAGCACGCTTGCCTGCCAATCGCCTCATGGTAACGCCAAAATATGAAGTCATCTCCAGTCGCGGCCTGACTGGAGAACACCTTTGGAATTCACGTCGCCTCCAAACAGCTGCGAAACTTCTTGAATGAAGTCATCCACAGATAGCTACCTGGAGGTCAGTACTCTTGATCTGCAAGACCTCCCACATCGAGCAGCTTCGTCAACTTCGCTACGGTCTAGGACATCATCTTCACCGTATTCGCCGAGGCGCGAGTTGATGGTATGGACCGGGTACCTGGAAAGGGGAAGACCGATATTTTCTTTGTAGACCCCGACTGAAGGTGAGCGCTGGCGGTTACATCAAGTAACTCGAGAAGAATATCCTCCCTACATGTGTCGCCCGTACCTTCTTGGAGACCTTGTGCTGCTACAGGTTTGGGTGCCACCACATGGAATCAAAGGGTTTTGGAAAAACTCCCGCCTACTTGGAATGGAAGGGGGCTGAATACCTAAAGAAGGTAGAATATCCAAGTAGGTCACCTGACCTGTATCCCCTCAATTACCCGGTTCGGGCGGAGTTCAATAGGGTGGTCTACGGTGGCGGAGAAATCAACGATCTCGCTCAACTCCGGTACCCACTCACTTTCGCGCGGCCGAATCTCTCGATGGCGCTCCTCCAGAAGGCTGTGGCGGAGTATCATTATAGTATTTAATGTGCTCTTTAATATGGTAGTAAAAATGTCCGATAAAAATTTAATAAAGTGTAACTTATAGCGCCTTGAAAGTCATGGAGGCAAAATGACTTTTTTTGGCCCCCCCCTGATTTATACCATAGGTATCCAAAAACATGCTTTGACCCTTTCAGATTAAAGGAGAAATAATGAA